GCGGCGGGGTCCCCAGACATGCACGCGCCGCCGGCGGAGCCTGGGGCGAGGCGCGAGCGGGGGCGGAGGAGCAGCAGGAGGGAGGGAGGGAGGGGGAGGGAGGGAGGGAGGGAGGGAGGGAGGGAGGGAGGAGGAGGAGGAGGAGAAAGGAGTAGGAAGGAGGCGGGGAGAAGGGAGGGGGGAGGGGGAGGGGGAGGAAGGAGGAGGAGGAGGAGGAGGAGGGAGGAGGAGGAGGAGGAGGAGGAGGAGGAGGAGGAGGAGGAGGAGGAGGAGGAGGAGGGAGGGGGAGGGGGGAGGGAGGAGGGGGAGGGAGGAGGGGGAGGGAGGAGGAAAGGAGGGGGGGGAGGAGGAGGAGGGAGGAGGAGGAGGTGGAGGAGGAGGAAGAGGAGGAGGAGGAGGAGAAATAGGAGGAGGAGAAGGAGTAGGAAGGAGGCGCGAGGAGAAAGGAGGGAGGAGTGAGAGGGGGGGAGGGGGAGGAGGAGGAACAGGAGGGAGGAGGAGAGAGGAGGGAGGAGGAGGAGGAGGAGGAGGAGGAGGAGGAGGAGGAGGAGGGAGGGGGAGGGAGGAGGAGGAGGGAGGAGGGGGGGAGGGAGACTGAGGGGAGGGGGAGGAGGAGGAGGAGGAGGAGGAGGAGGAGGAGGAGAGAGGAGGAGGAGGAGGAGGAGGAGGAGCGAGGGGGAGGAGGGAATGGGGGAGTGGATATGTCCTTGACTACTTCATCGTCTACGTTGGGGGCCGCTCATGAAAAGGGGCCCTGCAATGGGTGCGCGCGTGTGCACACGGCCCATCCGAAGGGTAGGGGGCGCTGCGCTAGAGGGCCTGGCCAGCAGTCGGGCGACATCCGATCACACCCAAGTGGGGACGGGGGAGGAGCAGGAGGGAGGAGGAGGAGGAGGAGGAGGAGGAGGAGGAGGAGGTGAAGGAGGAAGAGGAGGAGGAGGAGGAGGAGGTCTTGTGAAGAGGAGGAGGAGGAGGAGGTCTTGTCCCAATGAGGCTATGCCCAAGGGGTCCCTGCGTGTCTTTATTGTTCAGGAAAGGCCTGTAGTCGTCCCGTCAGCTGCGCGGCGGACTCCCTGGCGGCTCACTGGCCCCCGAGCCCTGGCCCTTCGTGCAGATTCGAAGGTTTGCATCAGCTTCAGTATCGTGCAGCATGGATATGCAACCGGAGCGTTGCGTACCAAGTCAAGTGGTAATGCGCTGCGTTTTTAGAGTGCCGCAGCATACGCGGGGGGGAACGTTTGGGGGGGGGGGGGGGGCAAGGCTCAGGGTGGGATGCATCGACCCCCGATTGCCAACTCATTGCCGACATGGGGCCCGATAGCCCACCCCGCCCAGGAACGTTCGGATTCGCTACCGGGGGCCCATCGCCAATCTATCGGCAATGTATCGCCCATTGCAGCTCGATGGTTCCACCCTAGGCCGGCCCCCCTTATCGATGCCCTTCAACACTGCACATCAACAGAGAAGGGAAGGTCAGATCAGGGTATGGCGTTGATGTCATGGCGTATTGTAGCATGCCATATTCCCTGCACGTGCATTTCTATGTTGGGAATACGTTGCTGATGCATTGCTTGTGGCACTACGGCATTACATTGCTGGGTGTTGTGTGGTGCATTGCTTTTGAAATGCGGGGCGCATCCCATCTGCATTAGTGGTGCACTCGTTCGTAGTGGTGTTTGAACAAGGGTTACATTGCGCTGCATCGCATACTGTTCGCATGGGGTGCTGGTTGTGTGTTACATGTTGCGTTCAGTGTGCATCCCATTGGTGGTTGCATTGTTGCACATTGACTTGCATTGTATCCCGTTGCGCTTCTAGTGCGCTACATTGATCTGTTTCGCTATTGAATCCACGACTGGTGTTCCATTATGGTTGCTTTGCGTTTGCACTGCCAGCGCAGTGCAAGTCATTGCAAACACACGGCATGCACATGACTGTTGCATTGCCTTTGTACGACAGGGCCTTTTGCATCCTTGTTGCATGGCATCTCATGAATTGCATTCCATTGCGTGTGAGTTTAGTTAGTTGCATGCCATTGCGGCTGCATTGGTTTCCGTAGCATGGCATTGCACTGTTGCATGGCATGCGTGCGCATGCATGTTACACATCTATTGCCCTCGGATGGCGTTGCGCTCGGCGGCTGCTCCTGGCATCACTTGTGCATTGCCCTCCATCTCATTTCCTCCCATTGGTCTTTGGTATTACCTTGGATCTGCCCATCGACCAGATTCTCCGCGACTGGGATCGCGCTGGGTTCGTCGAGGTCTTGTTTGGTCGGGGCTCCAGGGGCGGGGGTCGCTGCACGCGGGGGTCGGCCAGAGCGGGGGATCCTGCAGGATCCTGCAGGAGCCAGGGGTCTGGGGCCACCTGCGAACCTTACCCCTACCCCCCGCGGTTTCTTAGGGGGAGGGTGGGGTTCACTTCGCTCGGAGAGCTCCCGAACGAAGTGACCCCCCCCCCCTCAGAAATCGTGGGGGGTAGGGGTCGAGTTTGCAGGTGG